CCCAATTTTCTGACATCACGTCCTGTCATCAAACCTCCAATACATTTCCATTTTATCAACAAGTACTGTATGTCCAACTTGCCATCTCAAACTCCAAAGATATACCCCAAGGTCTACCTCCACGTTAAAATCCAGCAAGCCCATTCAAATGCAAGGAAGCGCATCAAAACAGAGACGTTTTGCAAGGAGAAACATTACTCATTTACCTGTGGGAGATGAATGCTGCACTTGGACGACCTTACTTCTGTGCCCTTCATCTTCAATCTGCACACACAGAAAAGAGAAAACTGGGAAGAAACAAAAAGTGTTAGTGAAATGTCAAAACTCTGCATCTTTGAACATTCAACGAAGACGAACGGAACTGAAACAAGGGGTGAACACAGTGGGCCCGGACAAATAGGGAGACGAAACAGACAGACATGAACAGAACGCAACAAAACAGCCGGCAACCCACCACACACACTTTCACAACGGTCGTCCTGGGGCTAAGACCTGCAAAGAGGACATATCTCCATCCCAAGCTGGAGATATGATCCCAATTTCAGACCAAAGACCCAGGCAGGGGTAGCTTCCACCGCCGGTGACACAAGTTTCACCTCCCCCTTACCCCCCCCCCTTCCCTCCCCGATAGACGTCACACGGAAAAAAGGTTACAGTTACTTAACAAAAACTTCGATGAAAACCGGCGTCTTCTCTCTTCGCAGCATTCAAAAGCTCCCTGTGGCAGAAAAAAAGAGCAAGTATACATTGTAAATTCAATATCCAAATTTTCTGACATCACGTCCTGTCATCAAACCTCCAATACATTTCCATTTTATCAACAAGTACTGTATGTCCAACTTGCCATCTCAAACTCCAAAGATATACCCCAAGGTCTACCTCCACGTTAAAATCCAGCAAGCCCATTCAAATGCAAGGAAGCGCATCAAAACAGAGACGTTTTGCAAGGAAAACATTACTCATTTACCTGTGGGAGATGAATGCTGCACTTGGACGACCTTACTTCTGTGCCCTTCATCTTCAATCTGCACACACAGAAAAGAGAAAACTGGGAAGAAACAAAAAGTGTTAGTGAAATGTCAAAACTCTGCATCTTTGAACATTCAACGAAGACGAACGGAACTGAAACAAGGGGTGAACACAGTGGGCCCGGACAAATAGGGAGACGAAACAGACAGACATGAACAGAACGCAACAAAACAGCCGGAACACCACACCACCACACACACTTTCACAACGGTCGTCCTGGGGCTAAGACCTGCAAAGAGGACATATCTCCATCCCAAGCTGGAGATATGATCCCAATTTCAGACCAAAGACCCAGGCAGGGGTAGCTTCCACCGCCGGTGACACAAGTTTCACCTCCCCCTTACCCCCCCCCCCCTTCCCTCCCCGATAGACGTCACACGGAAAAAAGGTTACAGTTACTTAACAAAAACTTCGATGAAACCGGCGTCTTCTCTCTTCGCAGCATTCAAAAGCTCCCTGTGGCAGAAAAAAAGAGCAAGTATACATTGTAAATTCAATATCCAAATTTTCTGACATCACGTCCTGTCATCAAACCTCCAATACATTTCCATTTTATCAACAAGTACTGTATGTCCAACTTGCCATCTCAAACTCCAAAGATATACCCCAAGGTCTACCTCCACGTTAAAATCCAGCAAGCCCATTCAAATGCAAGGAAGCGCATCAAAACAGAGACGTTTTGCAAGGAGAAACATTACTCATTTACCTGTGGGAGATGAATGCTGCACTTGGACGACCTTACTTCTGTGCCCTTCATCTTCAATCTGCACACACAGAAAAGAGAAAACTGGGAAGAAACAAAAAGTGTTAGTGAAATGTCAAAACTCTGCATCTTTGAACATTCAACGAAGACGAACGGAACTGAAACAAGGGGTGAACACAGTGGGCCCGGACAAATAGGGAGACGAAACAGACAGACATGAACAGAACGCAACAAAACAGCCGGCAACCCACCACACACACTTTCACAACGGTCGTCCTGGGGCTAAGACCTGCAAAGAGGACATATCTCCATCCCAAGCTGGAGATATGATCCCAATTTCAGACCAAAGACCCAGGCAGGGGTAGCTTCCACCGCCGGTGACACAAGTTTCACCTCCCCCTTACCCCCCCCCCCCCTTCCCTCCCCGATAGACGTCACACGGAAAAAAGGTTACAGTTACTTAACAAAAACTTCGATGAAAACCGGCGTCTTCTCTCTTCGCAGCATTCAAAAGCTCCCTGTGGCAGAAAAAAGAGCAAGTATACATTGTAAATTCAATATCCAAATTTCTGACATCACGTCCTGTCATCAAACCTCCAATACATTTCCATTTTATCAACAAGTACTGTATGTCCAACTTGCCATCTCAAACTCCAAAGATATACCCCAAGGTCTACCTCCACGTTAAAATCCAGCAAGCCCATTCAAATGCAAGGAAGCGCATCAAAACAGAGACGTTTTGCAAGGAGAAACATTACTCATTTACCTGTGGGAGATGAATGCTGCACTTGGACGACCTTACTTCTGTGCCCTTCATCTTCAATCTGCACACACAGAAAAGAGAAAACTGGGAAGAAACAAAAAGTGTTAGTGAAATGTCAAAACTCTGCATCTTTGAACATTCAACGAAGACGAACGGAACTGAAACAAGGGTGAACACAGTGGGCCCGGACAAATAGGGAGACGAAACAGACAGACATGAACAGAACGCAACAAAACAGCCGGCAACCCACCACACACACTTTCACAACGGTCCCTGGGGCTAAGACCTGCAAAGAGGACATATCTCCATCCCAAGCTGGAGATATGATCCCAATTTCAGACCAAAGACCCAGGCAGGGGTAGCTTCCACCGCCGTGACACAAGTTTTCACCTCCCCCTTACCCCCCCCCCCTCCTCCCCGATAGAACGTACCACGGACAAAAGTTACAGTTACTTACAAAAACTTCGATGAA